ATCTTGTCGAAGGCGGACGCGAAAATGATGTTGGTAGAGCTTCCATTATCAATTAAGACTTGATGCACTGTTCTGTTAACAATGATGACCCTTACCACCAAGGGGTCATCGTGGGGGTGTTGACAACCTTCTAAGTCTGCATTCAAGAAAGTGATGTCTATGCTCAGCTGAGGTGCCTTGGTCACAATTTGCACCTCCAATATCTCCTCGACTCTGACCTTGCGTATGTGGGCTTTTTTAGCTGAATTGGTTTTCCCGCCACCAGCGAATCCTCCAGATATCACCCGAATCTCTTAGGGGTTATTGGTGTTGGGCAAGACTTTGTTGTTGCGGTGTTGGAGGAGGGTGAGCCCTGTTTTGATTATCATACGCCACAAAATGGTGCAGCTGCCCCCGCTGAATTAGGAATTCGATTTCCTTCTTCAATTGGATGCAATTGTCGATGAGGTGGCCATGGTCTCTATGGTATTCACAGTATTTCATTGCATCCCTCTTTGCTGGATCCGATTTCATTCGAGGTGGCCACCTTAGGAACTTTTCATTATGTACCTCATAAAGGATTTGGGATATTGTGGCTGTAAGTGTAGTGAGTTACCGAAGTGCGAACCTAGACTGCAACACTGGCTGTAGAGGACCCAGGTGATCCCTAACATCTCCACTCCTTTTCGAGAAATGGTCCTTGTTTCTTCTTGGAGACCCGTCTCGACTTTTTTCTTTTTTGAGACTTTGATCTCTCTTCTTTTCCTCCTTCCTTTTCTCCTTCTGTGTGGATGAACTTCCTGTCTTAGGAAGGAGAGCTTCTTCTCCATTGATGTATTTTTCTACCTTGGCAAGTACTTCTGCTATACTGGCCTGCGGGTTTTTAGATATAGAGAACATTAGATCCTTTGACTGTACTTCTAACCCAGCGATGAAAGTAGTGATGACAAATTTTTCATCTGGAACATCCACTTTCAGAGATTTTGAATTGAACCTTTGACCATAAGACTGCAGGTTCTCATTGGGTCCCTGCTTTACATTCAGCAGGTGGTAGCTTGATTTTCGATAAGTTCGAGTTCCTATGAAGTGTGACACGAAGGATATAGAGAGCTCTCTAAAGGAGGAGATGGATGCCGCAGCCAGCCTGTTGAACCGTGCTAAAGTTAAGCCCTTCAATGTGATGGCGAAGGCTCAGCATCGTATAGGGTCTTGATATCCATAGAGCTCCATTTAGTTTTTGTATGTGTTGAGGGGATCCATGGGATCCTTTGTCCCATCAAAGGCCTTCATCTGGGGTATTCTGAACTTTGGTGGGAGGGAAAAATACAATACTTCGACAGTGAAAAGGAACTTTATTTGCTGTACTAGGGCGTCCATGGTTATTGGGGTGTTACCTCTTACAGCCTCCTTCATATGGATGAACTCTTGCTGAATATCTCTAAAACATTGCTCCCAGTATTGCTGTCTTCTTTCCTTCTGGAACAGGGGAAGTTCGTTTCTATGGATTCCCCTATTCTGACTCTGCATCTCCTCATAATCTTCATTTTTGGGGGCCCGAGGATCATTGCCCATGGCTTGGCCATGTTCTTCCCCTTCAGTGATGTTTCGCAGGGGGTTGATTCTATGAGGTTCTCCCTGTGGGGGATCACCCAGAACTGGTTGCGCCTTTTGGGGATGTTGAAAGAGATGTAATAACTCTTTATTCTGCTGGAGAAGACCCTAGTTTGCTAGCCGAAGGGCCTCGAGCTTGTTATTTGGAGGGGGATTCACTACAGGTGGATCAATCTCGTCGGTAGACAAGAAATCACGAGGACTCTCCTATTGTCTACTGTTGGTGGCTTCTTGCTAGTTCTACAGTCATGGGGGATTCATCTGACTTCTACTCTTGCTGCAAGTAGAAACCATCAATTACTGAAAGAAATCAGTATATTTGTATGAGGAACAGTTGTTCCAACAGACGGCGCCAACTGATGATGTGTAAAGCGCAATTGTACAGAATGGGACAGTGGGTGCTTTGACTCTAGTGAGTCTGAGCTCCAAGGCTCTTTGGAATGGGGTTTTGGAGGAATGGAAATAATTGCACATAGGAATTATAGTGATTCACCAGCTTAGGACTCGACTAGTCTACTCTTGAAAGGAGTCTCTTGCTTCTGGGAATATATTGATATTGGGCGAGAAATTACACAATGTTCTCGATAAACTTAGGTCACTTGCCCTTATTGCGAGGACTTGTACAGTATTTATAGCTAAATTCGAACTAAGCTGGATCTAGGGAGAGATCTCTGCATCTTGTAACGTTCTTGATTTAGGCAGCGGTTATGTGCTGTGATGGGGGAGTTGTGAGTTTGGCGCCTATGCTAGCATTTGTTGTCATTGTAGAGATGTTTGGTGGTTGCCAACTGTCTTTCTCTCTGTTCCCTTTGAAGAGTGGGCCTAGAGAGCTCTAGGTCGGGAACTCGAGCTTGGAATTTTGTGACTGGACTCTTGACTTGAGCTGAGTTACCGACCTCAAACTTAGAGTTCTTATGGGTACCATCATTTGTTATCTTAAGCAAATTAATCTTTATCTCAATCTTTAAAGATGTGATTATTTCAGTCATTCATCATTATGGCATAATTTTCCCGCATCACCTTCCATTTTCTAGATCAACTTTTTTCCAACTCAAAATTTCTTCACATTCCGCCATTAAGAGTGCAAAATAATGAAAAAGTCAACAAATTAAAATGGTTGAGCAGACAAGTTACTAGATGCAATTGACTTGAAACAGTGTGAGACGACTGAATGTGTATCCTGCTATGGAAGAATCCAAAATGAAACCTAACATCAATAGGGTTGTTGAGCCCAGTTATTCAATGGAGTGCAGATAGCTTGACTTTCAGCCAGCATCAATTGACTTCAAACCCATATGAATAGAGCTTTACAGTATTCTCAGGCCTAGGTCACGTAAATGAGGACATTTTATAATATAAAATTTAGATATGGCTGTCCCATATTGGTGTGTATCGTCATTTCGCAACGAAAGTCTAGTTACTAAACAATAACAAAAATTATCGTTGATAATATTAAATTACAGTTCTTGTATAAAGTTGTTTACTCTCAAGAATGTCACAACACAATTGAAAAAGAAGAGAAAACATCCTTAATGTAATCCTAGACAATCAAAAGCTACTGAATAGTATTTAAAGATCAACATTAATAAAAAAATCCTAAAAGTCCGAAATTACTAGAAAAGCAAAGCAGCATAAAGAATTTTGAAAGTAAACTATTGAGGGATAACATAGAGAAGCGTTGAAAATGCAACCTAAAAGGCGTTTTTTGGGCTTATATCGTTGAGCTTTTTCTAAATGAGATCGTCAGATTTTTTTAGACACCATCGCAGAAATCAGTCCCGATTGGCAAGTGCATCATCACTGTTGTAAGTAGAGATAACAGGCCAACACCAGAGCTGTTGAGGTCAGTGGAGTATGGTTAAACTGAGCCGTTCTTCTGTTTGTGTTCTATACACTATTATGTGATTTATTAGGGATCTGAGAAGACAAATCTATGTCTACACAAAGAATGAGGAAAAACATGTTCTTGTTTTTAGCCAAACATTTCCACAAGGGCCCCAAATTTCATACTGTGGGAATTGCTTGGAACCCCTTCTATTGTCTTTTTTCAATTAACTAACCTGTCCACATCTGTTTTTTAATGTGTACTTGGTTGGCATGAAAGCTTTTGTATTTGGATATGCATAGGCATCTATGCATATCCAAAAACTTTCATTTCATACATTTAACGTGTTTCTTGGCTTCCTTGTCCTAACTTGGAGTCATCTCTCTATCTATCTCTAATTATCATAAATTTATAATTAATAATGCTAGACCAACTAAAATAAGATTAAAAAAATAATTATGTTATTGGAACCTAATTTAATGACCTAATTTACTGACCTAATTTACTATGACATTTGGATTAACTATTAGCTCTATCAAACATTGAAACTTAGTGTTTACCCAATGGTTCTAATGAAGCTATGTCATTAAATCAAAAAATTATGTCAGATTTTTAGTTTCAAATAACATTTTTCTTAAAAAAATAAATATCAAATGATGTGAAATTCTAATAATAGTATTTTATTTTTATTCATTTAAAATAAAAAATTCACTTATCACACACACACACACACACATATATATATATATATATAATTTGTAAAATCACTTATCATGTTAGCTTCTACATCATTTAAGCTTTATTTTTGTCCCATTTTTTACTGCTCATTCTTGGTTTGTTTTTCGGGGTCAGCATTACTCATTCAAGGATAGCATTTTGTACGTCTTGTAATGGTTTGTTGACTAATTTTATGGGTTTCCATTTTACATGCTGCACATTTGGGAAATTATTATGAAAACGAAGGTAATATTCAGATGATATATTGAAGGTAAGGAAGAAGAAGTCAATCACAACATTCCAACTTGTGAGGGTCCTTAACATAGAATATACTGCAATAGCAATACTCATGTTCTATATTTACAATATGGCGATGATATTGCCGAGGTATCGTGCCAAAATATTAACCATTGATCTAGGCTGTTGATTTTGATTATGATGAGTTTAAACCATTGATTAAAAAAAAATAATAAAATCATATCTCATTTTGTCACATTATAATTGAATGAAAAATAAAAATACCGTACTGAAAAATAGTATTTCTATTGGTAACAATATTATCTATCACATTAACCAGATATATCCGGTGACTCCACATTAGCAGCAGAAAATGGATACTTGAATCAGCTACTCAAATTCCGTTACAGTCAAACAGGTGCAGCAACTGATAAACCTTCCATCCCAGAAATAAGACCCTCTCTCTCTCTCTATTCCTGTGGCTCCACGGCCCAAAGGATGAAGAAACTGTAGGTGAACATATTACCATATGTAAAGACCAAAATTTGAGGCACACACACCTCTAACAAAAAACCCAAAACACTTATACCCATGCATCTGACTATATCACAATTGGCTCTGAGTACTAATTCTAAGGCTTCAAAATTGAATGTCCCCGATTGCTGGACTTTGGCGAACCACAAAAATTGTCCCAGTTGGGTGAGAATGATGATACTTTTTTGCAGTTTTCAGAGAGCCACTTGGACTGCATGTAATTGACCCTTCTCCATGGAGGAATGTGAAGACCCTTCTCTTTCAGAGACTGCTTAGCAGCTGAGCAGAGCAGAGAGATTGTCTGGTTCAGCTTTTCTTCAGTACCAACAAATATGGATGGAAGAGAGTTTAAGAGACTTGAGTAGGTTGTGGTAGGCCGGGCAAGTTCAAATTGAGACCTAAAATCCATGTCTACTATCAGTCTTGTTGGCTTTCCACTACTATCGTCCTTCATCAAGACATCAATATATTCGTAGCCACCTGTAAATTCAAATAATTGGATAGAAAAATCATGACGGTCAGAAAGATTCTTCTTTAAAATCAGAATTGCCATCACATATATATACATGGATGCAGATATAAATCACAAATTGTTTGTTCATGGCAACGCTTAGAGAGAGAGAGAGAGAGAGTGTGTGTGTGTGTGTGTGAGAGAGAGAGAGAGAGAGATCAGGAGAGAGATCAAAGTAGTAACTCAGTGACTCAAGAACTTTTACATAGAGAAGCTTCAAAACCATATGTTGAACAGCCAGAAAAACATTACACACACACACAACAGACCTGAAGGACGAACGAAAGTAGAGACCCAAGAAGTTTGACAAAGAGAAGCTTCATAACCATCTTGTTTCAGGTTCAACACAAGCCATTCCTTCAGGTTATTGCCTACTCCTATATTATCCTCCAAAACCTTCAAGTACCATATAGTTTTCTCAAGAATCTCAGTCTCACCAGCTGTGACATTTTGAAGGAGCTCCTGAGAAAACAAGTATACAAGAATACAAGATTAGACTCAGAAAACAACTGAGTGACAGACAATATCGCTCAAGATATATAAGGATATGCCCAAAATCAAATACAGCAGATTCTAGGTATTAGAAGAAACCTGCAAAGAGAAAGCGAGAGAAGTTGTTTCCTGATGAACTTGATAATAGGGTTTTGAAGGAGTACCGGAAAAGGGTGTGGTTGATTCTGATTCAATGTAGTCTCTCACCATCTGAACCAATCTTTCTTCTTCAAAGCTACCCATGTTCGTGAATTCAAGATTGGGACCAAGGAATTGGCTTTGTACATGTCTTTTCTAGTGGTCAGTCTTCAACGGGATCAAAGAGATCTAGTTTTGTACAAAGTAAGTCAGTTTTAATCTAATCTTATAATTCGATTTAATATTTAATCTAATCTTATATATTATAGCAATGAAATTGGTTTGGATGAGCTTCAAAACCTCAAGTCAATTTTCTTGAATTTTTATTTTTAAAATTATCAAATTTAATTTAACTTTATGTCATTAAATCTTTTTAAATAACATAATTCGTAATTAATAGAATAATTATTAAAATTTCTCAACTATCCCAAGTTCCTCTACCATCATCTCTCCCTTTCTATTTCTTTCTCATACACATATTCTCTTTTTTCTAAATTTATATTTATTATACATTATATCAATTAATTTAAAAGTATATAAATCTTATGAAATTAAATTATTTTATATGACTTAATGCAACTACTACTACTTTATTCCAAAAATACTAGAGAGGTATAAAGTGTGGCAACAAAAGGTAAGAGTGGAGGTGGAGGTGTGACGGCGGTGGTAAAGATGCAAGGGGGAGTGGCATCACGAGCGGTAATCTCATGCGCCACTCCAAATTCAAATATTTTCATTTCAAAGGGTGACATTAATGAGTTGAAAAATAGTATCAAGACTCTTGGGTGATATTTTTGACAATTCTTAAGAGAAAAAAGAAGAGGTTATAAATGAGTTGATGAATATAGATCCAACGATTCATATATATTAATGAATAAAAATGACATCCCATTTTGACACATGTTATTGAAGTAAATTTATAATTCAAAAATACTAAAATACTGTTTAAAATTATAAATAAGTGATTTAATCCCTCAAAATAACACCTCCCTTTAAACTTACTCTTAAAACATGTGAGATTGAAAATGACGTGCATTGCACCGGAGTCTTTAGTTGTACTAATAAAAACGTATCACCTGTAAAATTTATTTATTTACTATTATTTTATTATTTTATAATTAATAATTATAAACCATCCAATCTAAATTAATGAGTGCGGATCAATTTCGATATTCTGGTGGTACGGTACCATAACAACCTTGTCCTGATTTCACATTGCTGGTACCACGAAATTATGAGTCACTGGGCTCCAAGCCATAACTGCTTTCTTTTTTCTCTTTCCAAGGACTTCGCCTTTGGCGGTCTTTCTTTTTTTATTCTTCATACTGCGGTGTTATAAAAGCCACTCAAACACTAACGGCAATGTTTATGCGTACACAAAGTGCAGTGAGAACGTCTAATCCAAGAGTAGGTTGGTTGTAGTAGTGGGTTTTCATTCATTCTTTCGTTTGTTTTTTTGATCAAAACGTTTTCATTCATAACAATCACTTTTCAGCAAAAACTGATAACCTTAATAAAAGCAGCTTTGACGGATACGACATGGTCAATTTCACTTCGGAATTAGTCGTTCTCCGTGTCGAAGACATTATAAAATTAATAAAAAATTAATAAATTATTATTTAAATTTAAAAAGAATAATTTAAAAATATTTATACAAATTCTTCTTTTAAAATGATTCAAAATATATCATTATAATAATAAAACTGTCATAAAAATATATTAAAATTCTCTAAAATAACATCATATCTACAAATACATTTAAAAAAAATTAATTACTAATTTAACCAATTAAAATTTACAATCTTTAAGTAATAAATAAAACATTATTTATTTATAAAACTCACGAATTTATCACCTCTCAATTTAATACTATAAATTTAACCACCATATTTCCAATCTACCTTATCCTATGTAATAAATACATCAAGCAAAAAAAAAAAAAAATAATAGAGCACAACTAAATTTGCAAACTTTAAGTACTAAATAAAATCAACAAAATCTTGCTTATTTAAAAAAATCATGAATTTATTATCACTATCATCATTCAACCTCAAATGACACAATATAATTACACATTTAATTACTAAATGTCAATCCTCCATATATAAATATACACAAAAATACATCCACACACATTTTTTTTTTGGGTTACCAACAAACTCTCATAACCAATAATTATTTTTATTATAAAGACAACAATTTAAGTTTTTAACGTAAAATAATAATAAATTAATGTTTAATTAAAAACCAAGATAAAAATTCGAACATCTCTTGAGTTTTTGACAATATTAAACGAACACCCTCACATTTTATAAATAACTCGAAAACCACCCGAAGTTTGTTATTTATTACATAGAGACTGCATGTATCTCCATTTCATTAATGTTGCTAACAGAAATTGAAAATTTCACCTAAAAATACTTTATTATTTTTATAATTGTCCTTCTCCAATTTAGTACCAAAAAATTTAAAAATTTAATAAAATCAAATAAAATTTGATTTAGTACCAAAAAATTAATAAAATTTAGTACCCAAAAAATTGATTAAATGAATTTTAATATTAATTTGATAACAATAAAAAGTAATATGGTATTAATTCGACATAGTTAAATATAAATTAGACAAAATTAAATATCAATTTTTGATAAAATTATATATTAATCTACAATCTAAAGTTCATTTTGTGTTGAATATTATTTGGTGTTTATAGTCAATTTCCTCTAAAAACTTTAAATTAATTTCATGGAATAAATAATTTCATAAACATGTAATTCAACTATTTTATGGAGTAAATGATAACAAAAATAACACAGGAGAAACAAAAAAAGCAAAAGATAATATTAAGAGAGAGAGAGTACAAGATAGATGGATAGATAGGAGAGTTATATGAGAGATAAAAGTCTTATAGTTGTAAAAAAATAAAAATCCAATTATAACCATTGGTTTAAAATTATCTAAGACGTGAAAAACTCAAATTAAATAATCTAACTATATTATTTTACAGATATCTGATAAACTTTTGGATTTTAATTATTCAAAAGTATAAAAAAAAATTTATTTTAGTTACTCATTTTTTTTAATACACACTCTAATAGATTTTTTATATTTTAACCACTTCTTTTAAATATTATTTTTTATATTTTATACTTTTGTTGGAAATACAACAAAATTGGAGGGAGAGAAAAAGAATGGAAGGAAAGACAAATAGGAGTTCGGCTTGTCTGCTGTTAGCAGTCGACAGCATGCAGTGCTATTAACTTGCACGACGTCGTATGGACCTTAAACGACGTTGTTTTGCGGTAGGCTGACAAAAAAAAATCCCAAACAACATCTTTTTTTGGCCAAACACCAGACGCCTTCCCCTCCAAAAACGACAATTCAACAACTCAACTCTCATACTCTCCCGCCCTCAAACCAGACCAGATTAGACCCATTGACTTTCGGAACCATCCATCACAAACTAGTAACTTCTCTTCCCTCCGTTCGTTCAACACCATTAATCTCTTCATTCCATTCGTTCGGCACCATCCTCGTGTAAGTTATTATTATTATTTTTTTATTTCCAGTGATTTCATATTGCTTTTGTGATTATGTTTAAGTTCAAGTTCCTCTTCACTCCATTTGTTCGACACTATCCTAAATTAAAAATATCTCCAAAATTACCAGTAATCTATTATTTATGATTATGTTTAAGCTTTGAAAATGTACTAGTGTGTTGATGTGTTAAAATTTATGTTTAAACTTCTTTCGTTCTTTCTATTGTAGTCTACACCCAAAATATACATCCTAATTTGTAGATTTGTTAAAAAAAAAAAATTGTTTAAGCTTTTCAATTTGTTTCATGTAAATTAGACATTTTGAACTTTGTGCTTATCAATATTTTTAATGTAGGATATAGTAAGGTTATATTTTGTTCTTAATATGATGGTGATATTGTATTAATATTTTCATAATTTTTTTGGCATTTTAGGGAACCTATTTATAATTGAGACGAAATGTGTCATGATTGAGATAATACATAATATTGCGCGTATTGACATGCAATTTGACACAGAGAACAATACTTATAGATTCTATAACAATTATGGACGATCTGTGAGATTTAGTGTGGGAAAAGATTATCACAACAAAAAGTTTGAAGGATGATTTAGTAATCTATAGAAAATATGTTTATTGTAAATAAGAATAAAGAAGTCGAGGTAAAAGGGATTGGAGAATAGTGAAGTCTCGAGCAGAGACGCGAACGAATTGTTCGGCTCACATGTGCATAGCTTTTAGGAGAGATATTGAAAAATTTGTTATGGTAAAATGGAAAAAAAAAAAACACAATCACCCTTTGCACCTTACTGAATATATGCATATAATATCATCCCAACGAAATGTTTCTGAAGACAAAGGCATAAATGTTGCTATGATTGAGGATTGTGGAATCTCACTAAAGACATCGTATAAAATTGAGTATGCAAGAGGGTGGGAGGGAAGGATTAGGGTTCACTTGCCAAAATCAAAAAAATTACATTCAACAAAGAGACAACAAGACTTGCGATATGGTGAAATGAGTAGTTTGTTAAAATATTTTCAAACAGAAGCAACAAAAAATTCATCATTCTATTATGGTGTGCAGTTGGATGTTGAGGAACAAATCACAAATATGTTTTGGGCCGACTCAAGAATGATTGTCTATTATGATCACTTTGGAGATGTTGTTTCATTTGAGACAACATTCCGAACAAATAAGGAGTGTCAACCCTTTGGAATTTTTATCGGCTTCAATCATTTTCGGGAGATAGGAATATTTGGTGTTGCATTGATGTATGATAAAATGACAGTATCATTTAAATGGTTATTCGATACATTTCTACATGCAATATCTGGGAAGAAGTCGATTATCATATATGCTGACCAATATCAAGCAATAGCTAAAGCTTTATCCCAAGTGATGTCAGAGACTTTTCATGGGTTATGTAAATGACACCTATCCCAAAATGCTTTAAAGTTTCTAGTACCTACAAAAGGCTTGTTCAAACTTTCCAAGACAATTCAAAAATTGCTTACATGGATATGAGGAAGAATATGAGTTGTTTAAGGCTTGAAAATTGTTGCTT